AGTCCAACTCTCACATCCATACATGACCACTGGAAAAACCATAGCCTTGACTAGATGGACCTTTGTTGGCAAAGTAATGTCTCTGCTTTTAAATATGCTATCCAGGTTGGTCATAACTTTCCTTCCAGGGAGTAATCGTCTTGTAATTTCATGGTTGCAATCACCATCTGCAATGATTTTGGAGCCCCCCAAAATAAAGTCTGACACTGTTTCCACTGCTTCCCCATCTATTTCCCATGAAGTGATGGGACCAGATGCCATTATCTTAGTTTTCTGGATGTTGAGCTTTAAGCCAACTTTTTCACTCTCCTCCTTCACTTTCATCAAGAGGCTTTTTAGTTCCTCTTTTGCCATATGGGTGGTGTCATCTGCATATCTGAAGTTATTGATATTTCTCCTGGCAATCTTGATTCCAGCTTGTGCTTCTTCCAGTCCAGCGTTTCTCATGATGTACTCTGCATATAAGTTAAATAAGCAGGGTGACAATGTATACTACATATTTAAGCCTAACAGTAAAAATATAGCTTTATAATTACTGTTTTATATGATTGTCTTTTAATTAACTAAGAGAGGAAAAAGAAAAAAAATATTTTCGCTGTATTTTTATTTACCTACATATACTAGTGCTCTTTATTTCTTTGTGTGAAAATGTAAAATGTCAAAATGAAAAAAGAATGAAAAAAAAAGTGACAGATTTTGTTTTCTTGGGCTCCAAAATCACAGCAGATGGTGACTGCACACCGCAAAATTAAAAGATGTTTTCTCCTTGGAAACAAAGTTATGACAAACATAGACAGCATATTAAAAAGCAAAGACATCACTTTGCTGACAAAGGTCTGCCTAGTCAAAGCTATGGTTTTTCAGTAGTCACGTACAGATGTGAGAGCTGGATCATAAAGAAGGTTGAGCGCCGAGGAATTGATGCTTTCGAATTATGGTGCTGGAGAAGACTGTTTAGAGTCTCTTGGACTGAAAATCAAACCAGCAAATCCTAAAGAAAATCAGTCCTGAATATTTGTTGGAAGTTCTGATTTTGAAGCTGAAGCCCCAATACTTTGGCCACCTGATATGAAGAGCCAATTCACTAGAAAAGACCCTGATGCTGGGAAAGACTGAGGGCAGGTGGAGAAGGGGGTGACAGAGGATGAGAAGGTTGGTGGCATGATTGACCCTATGAATATGAGTCTGAGCAAATTCCAGGAGATAGTGAAGGACAGGGAAGGCTGGTGTGCTGTGGTTCGTGGGTTGGCAGAGTCAGACAGATTTAGCGACTGAACAACAGCATGAGAGTTGTACATCCGTGTACTTTGGAAAGAGTGTCATTCCAGGGAATGATGTATTACCTTCTAGTAATATAGCATCAAGTTTCATAGCTATTTTTGAAGAAGAATTTTGCTGGCTATGAAATTCTTGGAAAAAAATGGCAACCCACTCCAGTAATCTTGCCTGGAGAATTTCGTAGACAGAAGATCCTGGGCTACAGTCCAAGGGGTCGCAAAGAGTCAGACACTACTGAGCGACTAACACACACACACATTATTCTTTCAGCACTTTGAATATATCATTCCCTGACTTCTGCCTCCATTGTTTCCAGTAAGAAGTAACCTACTAAATTTTTTGTGGTTCCTCTGTTCTGAGTCTCCTTTGATTGCTGAGTCATTTTTCTCTTTTTGCTTTAAAGATTCTTATTTTGTCTGGCTTTCAACAGTTTCACTATGATGTTCCAGGTATGGCTTTTTCTGTGTTTATCCCACTTAGAATTTGCTGAGCTTTTGAATGTGTAGATTAATGTTTTTCCACAAATTTGGGATCATTTGTCCATTATTTCTTCAAATATATTTTTAAAGTATTTTTATTTATTTATATATTTTTAAAATTTGACTGTGGTGGGTCTTAGTTGTAGCACATGGGATCTTCAATCTTCACTGGGGCATGGGGAATCTTTAGTTGTAGCATGTAAACTCTTAGTTGCGGAATATGGGATCTTGTTCCCTGACAAGGGATCAAACCCAGGTCCCTTGCATTGGGAGAATGGAGTCTTAGCCCCTGGACCACAGAGAAGTTCTTTCTTTAGATATTTTAAATGTCCCTCTCTCTTCTTCTGGGACCTCTATTGCTTGTACACTGGTATGCTTGATGGTATCCCACAAATCTCTGAGCCTTTGTTCATTTTTCTTTATTGCTTTTTCCTCCCTGTTCATCAGATTAGACAGTCTCTAGTAATCTAGCATTAGGATTGCTGGTTATTTTCTTCTATCAGCTCACGTATGCTGTTGAGCCCTTTTGGTGAATTTTTCATTTCTGGTATTGTACTATTTAACTCCAGTTTTTCCACTTGGTTTTCTTTTTTTAAAGTTTTTTTTTTTTTAATGTGGACAATTTTTAAAGTCTTTGTAGAATCTGATGCAGTATTGCTTCTATTGTTTTACATTCTAGTTTTTTGACCTCAAGACTTGTGGGATTTTAGTTCCCTGATCAGGGATCAAACCCACCAGAGGAGTCTTAACCACTGGACTGCCAGGGAAACTCCGGTTTTTATTTTTAAGCCTGAATTTTAAGGGTTACTTTTGATTCAGCATAGCTTAGTGGTCAGTCAATGATCAATCATCAATTAATCCAGATTAATCTAGTAAGGCTTATACTCTTTGCTAATGGATCTGTTTATGGGTTAAAGTAGTATTGTTATAACATTGCATTGCTCCAGATCAAATCAACCCCCTCAGGCAGCAGAGTTGTCAGTCTTCACAGCCTGTTTCACTCTGGTAGAACTACCAGGCCATAGGGCTAGGTTGTTGGAGATGGAAGCAGCTACAAGCTAAAACATCACAGCAAATTTTTCTTGAACTAATTCTTCTCAATTTGTTGTATGCCTCTGGTCAGTTTCCAAAGTCCTAAAATGATTGTTTTTGGCAAATTTGCTCAGCTTTTTTCTTACTCTTTTGGGGAAAATTTGCTGAGTTTCTCATTCAGCCATTTTGAAAATCCCTTCAAATGTTTGCCTTCTATTTTTTGTGATCCTTCTTAAAGAATTAAGGTTAGCTTTGACTCAGAAAAGGGAAAAAAGAAAGATAGGAACCCATTAAAGAAAATGGAAAGCATCAAGCATTATCAAAACCAAAGGAAAATTTTGGTATTCATCCTAATCTAATCACAAAATTGTAACCTAAAGTAAGTTGAGGTCACAGCTGAGTTCTTCTCCTAAACTCTGGAAGAAGAACTTCTAGATAATTGTGGAGAAAGAGTCATTCTTTTGAAAATAATGCTGTTTATTTTGGGGCCAAACTTCCCTAACGAAACTTCACCCTATATCTATCTGTTAATTTAGGCTAAATTCCTTAGTCTGCTTCCCTTGTAGCTCAGTCGGTAAAGAATCTGCCTGCAGTGCAGGAGACCTGGGTTCAATCCCTGGGTTGGGAAGATCCCCTGGAGAAGGAAATGGCAACCCACTCCAGTATCCTTGCCTGGAAAATATCATGGACAGAGGAGCCTGGTGGGCTGCAGTCCATGGGGTCGCAAAGAGTCGGGCACGACTGAGCGACTAACACTTACACTTAAACTTAGATTAGAGCACAGCACAAAAGGAGAAATGCAATCTCATTTATGTTTTATGTTTTTTTCTTCTAGCATCTAGAGGTTCTCTATGGAAATCATGGAAAGAAAGAGTTATAAAGCGACCTGCAACAGCTCATGCTTTAAGACCAGATCAGATGATTAGTGATCAATTTGCCACCGAAAAAAAGGTGTCAGAAATCCAAGATATGCTTCAGGAACTCATAGGTACTTCAATGTTCAATAAACTGGAAAACAATGCTATTAAATATATATCATCAACAACAGTAAACCTTTCTAAAGCTTTGAGTACACTAAATGATGAAGTGAAAGCTGTTAACCTCCATACTTCTGATATATATGCAAATGAGACAGTTGAAAGAGAACAAGAGATTTCCCTGAAGATAATACAAGATCTCAGTGAAAGAAATGAAATGCTTCAGCAAAAACTTCAAGAAGCAGAAGAAAAATATGAAAACCTTATTCGATCCAAAGTTTTAGAGCACCAAGCATTGCCCACATCAACACTGAAAGTGTTACCTGAGCCTTCTCCACAATCAGCCATTAGCCAAGATGACACAGAAGACAATTTAGACAGTATTTTGGCCAAAGAATTTGAAAACATGGTAGATGAGGCCCCCCAAAAAGGGACCAAAGCCTTGGGGATCAAGTGGGACTCATCTCATTTATATGCAGCCCAAGGTGAAACTACTGAAGATTTAACTGGTGAGCAGAAAAAGTCTTCTGGAGAGATCACTGAAGATAAGATATCAGTGAAGAAAGGTGGTGCCTTTCAGAAAGATGGGGCTGACGAGTTCCAGTCACAGAAAAAAAAGCATACAAAAGGCCTGTCTGTGCAGGAGACCTCTGAAACAAATGTGAATGATGATAAAGGTAAACAGAAAGTCACAGGGACCAAACCTGATCACCACTTAGAATTACAAGCACTGGATAAGAAGAGAAAAGAAACAAAATCCTCTCCTGAAGCCAAATCAAAGTCACTCACTGAATCAAAAAATCAACATTTTCCTTCTGATTTCCTTTCTGACAAGAGCCAAGGTGGTAAAAGTGGAACAAGTGGTATACTGGAACAACTCAGGAAGGCTAAATCTGAATATTCACAGAGTAAAAGTCAAATTTCTTCAGAGAATAAAGAGGAGCTCACCACTGAGTCAATGAACAAAGATGGCAGAAATGAGATGAGCAGCCCACCAGAGCCATCCAGTTTGAGCCAACTTGATTATTCCTCTGAAAAAATAAAAGGAAAGAAACACCATATCTCTCCAGAAAGCACTACAAGAAAAGAAGAAAAATCTGAAGAGAAAGATACGTCAGTCTTCACAAAGAAATTCAAGTCTCTTACACTTGCTAAATCAGGTATTCCAGATGGCGAAAGTGAACAGAGTAACCTAGAAGAAGTTCAGAAAGCCATAGTGTCATTCCTTAAAGAGAAAACTGATAACATAGGAAAGCCCTGGGATAAAAAGACTGAGTCAAAAAAAGAGTTATTAAGAAGATCAGAAGTTGAGAAATTAGGAATCGTAAAGACAAAAATGGAGGAATATTTCCAAAAAGTGGCTGAAACTGTGACAAAAATCTTAAGAAAATACAAAGATACAAAAAATGAAGGACGAATTAGAGAGAAACCTTTGAAACAAAAAAAGGCAGTCTCCTTTATGCCAGAACAGCATTCTCAGGAAACAACTAGTGCAAAGTCAGAAATTAGCACCTTAATTTCACAGGAGAGGCTTGACCCACTAACTGACAATTTAATACAAATGATCTTGACCGAACTAGAAAGTGAAAGGAATGTTCCAGAAGCCTCAACAGTAGGGACAGACTATAAAGAGAAGGAAAAACAAGAGCTAGAAGAAAGGTGGTTTGAGATGATAAATAAGAATTTGGAGAAGGAAGGGGCATGGCTCCCAGTGAAGGAGGGAAAGCAAGGGCAACAGAAGCAGAAACAGTGGCAGGAAGAAGAGGTGTGGAAGGGACAGCAAAAACACAAGATACAAAAGCAGATCGAGTCAGATGAGAAGCAAAAGCAAAGGGAAGAGGAGAAAGAAGGGTATCAGAAGTCAAAGCAGCAGCAGTTGGAAGCATGGAAACAAAAAATGAAACAACAAGGTGTGCCTTTGGAGAAGGAGAAAGGACAGCAGATGATGCAGGTTCAGAAGGAAGTGAGACATCTGGAGCAAGAAAGCAGTTGGGAGAGAGAGGAGGAGAAGCAGAAGGCAAGGAGAAAGGTAGGGGACTATGAAAGTCAGAACCAAAAAACAGCAAAGAAGATGAAGCCATCTGAACAACTAGAACAGGTGCTCAGTCAGACTTCGATCCCATTGTTTCACAGGTGGGAGAGCACACAGAAAGACATACCGCAGATACACCAAAGAAAAGATTTCACTGGGAATCTTAAGCAATTAGGGGATCTGGCTGAAGGAAAGCATCCCACTCCAATCACTACTCCCATCTCCACACAATCTTCCTCACGTGGATCCTCTTCTGTTTCTGGAGCATCTCTTGCAAAGTCCATCACTCTTACCTCTAGGCTTGCCCAAGCAATGGAAATTGACCTCACTTCTGAAGAGGTCGAGGCACTGGAAATCACGGACACCTTTAATCAGGTTCAGGCGTTGAGGGAAACTACTCCTAAGATGTCTCAGGGTTTGGGGATGGCTCTTAGCACAGAGCAGGCCCAGGCTCTGGGGATTCCTGTTACCCTTCAGCAAGTTCAAGCTCAGGGCATCATGCTTACCCATCAGCAGGTCAAGGCCTTGGGAGTCACTCTCACCCATGAACAAGCTCAGGCACCAGGGATTACTCTCACCCCTCAACAGGCCCAAGCACTAGGGATTCTTGTCACCCCTCAGCAAGCTCAAGCTCAGGGCATCACACTCACCCCTCAGCAGGCCAAGGCACTTGGGATCACTCTCACCCCTGAACAAGCCCAGGCACCAGGGATCACTCTCACCCCTCAGCAGGCCCAGGCACTTGGGATCACTCTCACCCCTGAACAAGCCCAGGCACCAGGGATCACTCTCACCCCTCAGCAGGCCCAGGCACTTGGGATCACTCTCACTCCTGATCAGGCCCAGGCACCTTGGGTGTCTCTCACTTCTCAGCAGGCCGAGGCACTGAGGATCCACATCACCCCTGAGCAGGTACAGGCTCAGGACCTCACTCTTACCCCTCAGCAGTTCCAGGCATTGAGAATCCCTGTCACCATTCCACAGGCTCGGGATTTGGGGGCCCCTTTCACTTTAGGACAGGCTCAAGCATTGGGGGTTTCTTTCTCTCGTGAACAGTTTGCAGAATTAGGGGTTCCTCTCACCTCAGATAAAGTGTATACCTTAGAATATCCCCACATCCCAGAACAAATCCAACATTTGGACGCTCCTTTCACCCCAGGGGAGGCCTGGTCTGTGGGTATTACTGTTCGGTCTGTGCAGGACCCAAAATCAACAACTCCTCTCATGAAGGAGCAGCCCTTACCACCCTGGGCTGGTCCTCCTTCAGAGCATACACTGAAAGCTGGGATCTCTTCCATTACTGATAAATCTGTCACAAAACATGCTCCTCACACTCCTAAGGTGTCCTCAGTATCATCTGCTGCTATTGCTGAGAAGTCCCTTGTATTTGAGGTGCCTTCTACTCCTATGCGTCTATCAAGGTTTCCTCTTAAACAAGCCCCCTCTGAGAAATTCTTGGGCATGAGGATTCCTTCAGACCCTGAGAAGCTCCTGGCACCACAGACTTCACCTTCCTCCAGACAGACCCTAGTGTCTAAGGATCTATCAACCTCTGTTCCGTTCCCAACACCAGTTCCCAGTCCAATATTTGAGCTTTCTCCCACTTCACAGCAGCCCCTGGAACCAGAGGCCCTTCTTAGTTCTGGGCGATTCTTCATATCTAGGGACTCTATGACTCCCCAGTCACCTTTGATATTGAAGCCCCTTCCTGACCGCAGACAGCCCCTTATATCTGGAGTCCCAGTCACCTCTGCACAGATCCCCAAAATCTGGGCTCCTCTCTCTCCTGGGACATGCTTGTTTCCTGGGACCTCTTCCATCCCTCAAGAGGTCTTGAAATCTGGACCGTTAACACTCTCTGAGCAGTTTCAGGCAACCCAGACCTTTGCCACTCGTAAGCAATCTCCCCAGTTACAAGCCCCTTCTGCCCTTGGGCAGCATCTGCCATCAAGGACCCTTCCTGGGCAAGCTTCCTCAGCATGGGTCTCTCCCACCCCTGGGCATCCGCGAACACTGTTGACTCCCTCAATCCCTGAAAAGCCACAGAAAGATTTGTCCTCTGCTGTCTCTAAGAAAAGGAAGGAAAGATTGTCAATCATTTCTTCTCTGAAATTGAAATCAGTATTGGTCCATCCCAGTGCTCCAAGTTTCAAGGTAATTCAAGCCCCTGACGCTTCTGAAGAAATCCAGATACCTGAAGATCCTTTTACCGTGGAACGATTTAGAATGTTTAAGTCCCATCTCACCGATTACAAGACACCAGTATCACAAGCCCCTTATGTTCATGAGAGGACCCTTCCTACTCTCATTAAGCCTGTAACGCCACTACCTTCTCTTATTACGACTCAACTACTCAAAACACGGCAGAGCTCACCTTCTGAATGGGACCGGAAATCCCCACTTCCCCCTATCAATATGCCCTGGGTGCTGACTTCAGTTTCAGGTACCAAGCAACCCAAGATGATGGTGCCCACTTCCTATCCCCAAGAGCTCAAAGAACAGAACTATTTTGTTGATGTGGAGGCTCAGCGGAAGAACCTGATACTCTTAAATCAGGCCACAAAAGCTTCTATACTCCCTTCACAGCTACACACAGAAGCTAGGAATCTCATAATTGAGACGCTTCATACAGACAAAGTTCGGCTGGGATACTTATTCCGCAAGTACAATGCCTACAGACTGATCCAGCGTGCAAGGTAGATGTAAATATTATGTCTAGTTATCTGGTTTAGTCCTGATTTCAAATGTCCTCCCTCATTACCCTATCAGTATATATGTATTTGTCAGGTTGCTAAGTCAAGTCAGTCGTGTCCGACTCTGTGCGACCCCATAGACGTCAGCCCACCAGGCTCCCCCTTCCCTGGGATTCTCCAGGCAAGAACACTGGAGTGGGTTGCCATTTCCTTCTCCAGTGCATGAAAGAGAAAAGGGAAAGTGAAGTCGCTCAGGCGTGTCCGACTCTTAGCGACCCCATGGACTGCAGCCTACCGGGCTCCTCCGTCCATGGGATTTTCCAGGCAAGAGTACTGGAGTGGGGTGCCATTGCCTTCTCCGATTTGTCAGGTTAGCTGTTCTAAAAGATTCTCTTATAGAAAGTTTGTAAGATGGAAGCATATTTAAGATAGCAAAAGGAGGTATATTTTTTAGAAATAAGAAATGTCATGTAACATCCATTTCACTCATATATATCTCTAGCAGAGATTCTAAAATATATTTTGAGGATCATGGTTGATCTCCAAAGTACCAGCTTCAAAAGTTTAGAAATGCTTGCAGCTATTCTGAATTACTTTCATCTTGCATTCACCAGAAGACCTATGATTCTTTCTTTTAATTTACTTTTCATTGAAGTGAAGTTGGACAGAAGATCTATTAAAGTGAGAGATGGCAGGCAGGTTTATGCACTTCATGTTGCCATGGGAGCCTTGATGCTGGAGTGACCTACAGGAAACAGGTTCTAGTCTTGATTTTTAAAACTGAAATTAGCCTGCCATTCTTGGCCTTTGTGTTTGAGGTTGTCAACTTAATATTTTGGGGATTTAAGAAACATTTTTTTTATTGTAGAAATTCTTTCCCCTTTTTAAAATTTATAATACTTTTTATTATAAAGTTACCTTATTTGGTTACCTTATTTGGAGAACTTTTCTAACCTAAAATTACGATATGTCACACTAAGATCTATGATAGAAAAGGCTATCATTAATTATAGGAACAATCTATGTCATTTATTCAACAAATATTTATTGAATATGTACTATTTGGCAAGCACTGTTCTAGATGCTATGGATACAGCAGTGAATAAAACAAAGTACCCTGTTCTCATGATATTTACATTTTTGAGGACTGAATTCATTTGAAAACTAAGCACTGGAATAACAAGGTGTAAAAGAAAGACATTCAGTGTATAGACAGAAATTTTCATTTCAAAGCTGAAGTTACCTTAGAATTGTTGAAATATTTTCTGCTCTATAGTGTGTTTTTCTCTTCCCAGAATGAATACTCCTAGTCTTTTAAATCTGTTTTTACATGTAAACACTTTCATCCAGTTGAGAATTTGAAGTAACATGTTTCTGGTCATTCTCCAGTTCCTTTATGTCTTTTTTCCTTTGTTATATTAAATTAAAATAAATAATTGCATTCACCTGGTGCAGTATTTTAAAAATACAAATAGAGTGAAAAGCCTCCTTAATAGTCTTATTCTTGGCCATTAGGCCCCTCCTTTAGGGCTACCCAGGTATTCCACCCAGAGATACTTTCTACATAAGTAGCAAAGTACATAGGCTCTTGTATCCCACTCTTTATACATTTAAAATTAAATGTTTGATTTTTTCATAACAAGCTAGAATTTAGGTATTAATATATAAAGAGTCTACTCATTCATTTTACAGAATTATAGTACTCCAAAGTCTAGATTTACCAGAATTTACTTAACCTCTAATGAGGTTAACATAACATTTATGCTGTTTTCAATATTTTGCATTATAAAAAGTGTACTTCAAAGAACAATCTTGTATATACATATGTATACCTGTATGTATGTTCCTAAAAGTAGAACTTCTAAATCAAGGGTAAACATTTTGTAATTGTGATAAATTTTTGTCAAATTGTTCTCCAAAGAGGTTGCGACAATTTATATATTGGTCAGCATTATAAAAGAGTATTTCCCCACAAATATTATCAACTTTTTTGTTCATTGTCAATGTAATAGATGAAATATGGCACTTCCATGCTTTCATTTGCATTACTTTTATTATAGGTTGAAGCTAACTCTTTTCACAGAGTTAAGAATCATGTGTATTTTATTTTCTGTGAAGATTTTATTCAAATACTTTGCCCATTTTTCAACTGGGTTATCAAGTTCCTTTTTAAAAAAATTAATTAACTAATTTTTATTGGAGGCTAATTACTTTACAATATTAAGGTGGTTTTTGCCATGTATCAACATGAATCAGCCATGGATGCACATGTATCCCCCCATCCTGAAGCCCCTTCCCAGCTCCCTCCCCACTCCTCCCTCTGGGTTGTCCCAGGACAGCAGCTTTGAGTGTCCTGCTTCATGCATTGAACTTGCACTGGTCATCTATTATACATAGGGTAATAGACATGTTTCAGTGTTATTCTTTCAAATTATCCCACTCTTGCCTTCTCCCACATAGTCCAAAAGTCTGTTCTTTACATCTGTGTCTTTTTTGTTGTCTTACATATAGGAATGTTGTTACTGTCTTTCTAAATTCCATATATATGCGTATATATTCTGTAATGGTGTTTCTCTTTCTGACTTACTTCACTCTGTATAATAGGCTCCAGTTTCATCCACCTCATTAGAACAGACTCAAATGTGTTCTTTTTTTACACCTGAGTAAAATTCCATTGTGTATATGTACCACAACTTCCTTATCCATTTGTCTGCCAATGGACATCTAGGTTGCTTCCATGTCCTAGCTATTGTAAACAGTGCTGCAATGAACATTGGGGTACACATGTCTCTTTCAATTC